TATATATATGATTGTAAGAGGGATAAATGAAATGCAATGAACCCTAAGTTACTGGTCTCTACACCTAACAATTTTGAAATGCTACAAAGTTTGAAAGATCTACTATATATGTTTAAGTTTGTAACTTTGCAAAAGATAAAATGAACTTCCCCAAATTTGAAACTTAAGATAGTTTATTTAAAGATATCCTAATCCAGCATTTTGGAGGCTGAGGCAGGAGGATCGAAAGTTTGAGGTTAGCCTGAGCTACACAGTGAGATCTTGTCTCAAAATCAACCGATCAATTGTTTCTTCCAAGTAAGAAGAAAATAATATACAAGTTATTTTAAAATATTTAACTCCAGCAAATCAAAGCTTACTATATCAAAAAAAGGAATTATCTCGTTATTAGATTTATATTAACATATTCAAGAATATACATTGAGCATTGCATTGGTTATATGTAGTATAGGATTATAAGGAGTGGGTAGTGGCTCTTACCCCTAAGGAAGTTCACACTCCAGTAACAGACTTTTAGACACGTGTGTTCAATTTTCTATAATATTTAGGCCAACGATTCTCTGTATTTTTCATGGAACATCAATCCTATTAGAAGGTCAAGTATATTTATAGAATAGGATATGCCCATGGATAACACAGAAAGATATTAAAGATCCTGAGATACCTGTATTAAAGAATTTTAACTGTAAGTTGGCATTTTCCAAAATTATATAATTGCACAATCTTTTTGACTCAACACCTATAAACAGGTTACGGCACTTTTTGGGACATGCTGATTTGAGTACACAATTTAAAAATGCATTCTTAAATATTTCCTCAGGCACTGAAAACACAAACTTTGTGCTTTTTTAAATTTTTATTTTTATTTTTTTACTTTGTTTTGTTTCGGAGACAGTCTTGCTATGTAATTTAGGCTGGACTCACTATGTAGCCCAGGCTGGCCTCAAACTCCTGGCAATCCTGTCTTAGCTTCCCGAGTGCTGGGATACAGGCGTGCGACACCATACTCAGATAAACTTTTAACAACTTTTACACTTTTTAGAAAATAAATGAAAAAGCAAATTTGTGAATTCTGGAGACAGTATTAAAATTTAAGGCATAGGGTTAAGGGATAAATGGTAACAATAGGATACTGTTCCAAAGCAGCATATGCTATCTGTAACTGAAAATTATGCTTTATGAAGACTACACACAGCATTAAAATTTTAAAAGCAGGGGCTGGGGATTTAGCTCAGTGGCAAAGCGCCTGCCTGGCAAGCGCAAGGTCGTGAGTTCGGTTCCCGGTACTGGAAAACAAAACAAAACAAAACAAAATTTAAAAGCAGATGTTTTAAATACATACTTTTATTAAAATCACCTTTATCTGAATATAGACTGTTTAGACTGTTTCAAGGTCTTAATCTGAGACAAATTTTACTGACTGTATATTCTTAATTACATGTAGAGGAAAGACATTACATTCCATATATTCCACTTGGTAACTATTTTTCTGCCCTTTTATGAATTTTAAGTTTGTACCTGCTTTTTGCTCTTGATGCTAACTACTGAAATTCTGTACTGACGCACTCCTCCTTTAAAAAAAGTAAGCTCTCAAAAGGGAAAAAAGGCCACTTTTCCCTGCAGCTGCGGAAAGACAAATAGAATTGTTTTGTATCATAAGGCACCTAAAATAGTATTGTCCGCCTGGATTTCACAGTTGCTATATCTTGTAAAAATAGCTTATGACCCTTAAAATCTGTAATTCTGACTTAATAATTTGTGATCATCCTAGTTTTTTTAAAAATTCTGATTCTTAAAGTTTCCTTTGCAAATTTATAGGAAAAAAATCACTTCATATCCCTCTTCTTGCAACTATATGATCATGCATATACACACTGCTTTGATTATGAATGTTTTATTTAAGGATTTTTGGCTACTTCATCTTGTTTAAGTTAATAGGCGCTAAGACCAAAGGAGGAGGAAAACTGGTGTCTTGGAGAAAAAAATAATTGGTCTCTGAGTATGCACATCTCTTTCCAACACAAGGTAGTAAAAATTTCTGCTTTTCCATATTGCTCCTAGGCAGAAAGTACCGTCCTCACTAGAGGTTATCCTTTTGCTTCTCAAAAGTCATTAGCTGAATGATTCTCCTCAACCTTTTGGGCAGTTCCTCATTTCTGGAGGCTCTAAGTTATCAGGCAGTCTGTACATCTCCTCTGCTGTGGCTATTACAAAATACTGTTCTTCTTACTAAACTAAGGCTGTGCAAGTTCTTATTCACAGGAATCGTTGCCTTTATCTTTACTAATCAACTGGCTTTCTCTGCTAACGCATTCAGATGTTACAGTTCTAGATCAAGGCTATAAACTAAACAAAGAGAACAAATGAATGAATAAAATAATTTTCCTTGAGAGTCCTCCATAAATATTCAGGTTAGTATTATACATACATGGTGAGTAAGTTTTCATCATTATGCGTACTTTCATAGGATGGGCAGAAACCTAAGAGCTGACATAATGACTGGGTATCGCTAGGTTTGGAATAAATTTTGCCACTTATAATAATCAGGTAGTGCGCTTTATAAGAGAAACTGTGAAAGGAATCTGTGAGGTCCCACAGACTTTTCAAAGCTTTTGCTACCCCTCCATTTGGAAACAACAAGGACAGTACAACATCTCATTGGGATTCCAGAGACCGAAACAAAGCGGCCTGATACACTGCTCATCTTTCTTAAGCAAGCTTCAGCAGTCGCACTGGACTTTTAGGTTCCCTGGTGGAAGACATGACCTACAGCCTGACTTGACTCCACCTCACACGGCCTTTTCATACCCGTTTGCTCCTTGTCGGGTACAAAATGTCTTGTCTCGGATCTACGCTTTAGGTTAAAGATGGCCATGCCATCTGTCAAACGATTCAGTACTGATATATTTGCTTTCTTATACACAAAGGGGCTGGGAGAAAGTTTCCTGGGCACCTGCTACTTGGCTCACCAGACCACTGGGCCCAGTTCCATGGAGTTTCTGGTGGTACTGACACTATCTAGTTGATGGATCTTCCATCCTAACCCTGGATATCAACTAGGGAAAAGGCCATCTCTTCCAGACCTTTTCTTTTTTGGTCTTTTTGAGACAGGGTCTTGCCATGCAGTTCAGGCTGGCTTCGAGCTCACTTTGTAGCCCAGGCTGGTCTCAAACTTGCAAGGATCCTCCTGCCTCAGCCTCGAGTGCTGGGATTACAGCCTGGCATGTGGCATGAATACCTTTCTGCAAGGAATCTGCTTAAGCACTTTCTTGGAAAATAAATCCCTTCTTAAAACCTGTTATTCAACATAGGAGAAAACAGATTAGTTAATCCCTCACCAGGGAAGACCGGCAAATAATCACCATAGAATGCCAAGTGCGTGACACTGAGCGAGCGCCATGCGGGTTGCCGCCTGATACCCGTCCTGGTCTACGCAGGCTGCTGGAACGAAACACCACAGACTGTGTGGCTTATGGACAAGTCTCGAGGCCGGGGAGTCCAAGAACAAGATGCAGGGAGATCTGCTGTTCAGAGGGCCTGTTTCCTAGGCTGCATATTGGCTGTGCTGCAGTAACCTCTGCGGGCTGTTGTTAGCTATCGTCTCATGACAGAAGGGGCGAATCAGCTTTCTGAGGCCTTTTTAGAAGAACACTAATTTATGAGACCTCTGCCTTCGTGACCTCATCATCTTCCTGAGACCCCAACCTTCTATCTCCTCAGGGTGAGGGTTTCAACATCTGAATGTGGAGCGGAGTGGACGCATTCGGATCACAGCACTGCCCGACCCTTCTTGGACTTCTAAGTTTTGTTACGGGACTTCTTGGTTTTGTTACTGGAGCTTAATTGTAAGGTAGAAAGCTTACAAGGTTGAATAAACTTAACATAACTAAAAATAATGGACCTATATCTAGTTATTGCTTTTAAATTCTGGGAAATGGAATCTCAAAGTTACAATAACAATGCATTCCTTAAATGCTGGGTCTGCTGTTGATTGCCACAAAACATTATGGGAGAAACCCCTAGCATATCAATTGGTTTTATCTGAAAAACATGTGCAATGCTTGGACAGCTGGAGGTAAAAATCTTTTAATGTTCAGAGCATGGCACTGGTTTATCACAGTAAAATACGTGGGAAATATGCAAGTACCCGCCTTACACTTAGCAAGTGGTGGTCCTGAACTCCTGCACCATGTTGATGGGAATGGAGCTGTTCCCTAGGCTGCACTAAAACGCTGACTTGTGTTTTTGACCCTGGGTGAAATGTCCAGCTTTCCTTGTGTCTTTAAGAGAGTAACTTGTGAAGATACTTACTTCATTGGTTGAGGCCATGCTCACTCAGTCATACACGTTTGGCCTGGTTTTCCACCTTCCAATATTTGGGGCTAGGGATGGTTAATACCTGTGAGGCAGAGTGATTTGGAGAAATAACATTCTCATCAAGGAACGGCATACATAGTCTTCGATTTAAAAAACTATAAAATAAGGTAACAGTAAGGCTGTCTCCTGGAATCTGCTCTATTCTGAGAGGATGGCCACGGTACTACAGTTCCATAGAATCGCGTAGCTCAGATTTCAATTTCGCCAGCAAAGGAAAGGTGTATGTTCTCACTGGCAAGGAATGAGAAGCATGTACATTCAAAGCATGTAAAAAAGTTTTGCCAAGTCGTACCAGACTGGGAGCTAAGATCTACTGACAAGGGTTGGTAGCTTCTGTAAGCTGTTAAGCAGTTACAAAACTGTACAAGGTACTACAACGAGGCTAAAAATATTAGTCTATGTAGATGTGGCACTAACAGTTATTAAAATGGTAAACAGGTGGCCACCTTAAAAGACTAATTTCAAATGCTGTTGCCTGATTATTAAACAAGTAGTGCACACTGGCAAAGAAAACCGAAGGATACTGAGGACGTTCCCACAGATTCTAATTTAAAATAATCTTAGCAGGACCAGACTTCATATTTACGGGGAATATGGGGAAAGCTCAGTTTTCCCAAGAATTCTCTAAAGAAAGATCTTGCAGCCTACTCTACCATAATTCCATTTTTATTTTGCTTATTTTCTGCCATTTTCACTGATCAATGATTTCTGCCTAAACTTTTATTCTTTAAATTATAAATGAGTCAGATAAATTTATGGTTGTATGCATATTTGCTTAGCAACTAAACTAGCTCGATTCTAAAAATTAGATTTTATTAGCAAGACAGAGAATATTTAGTAGAAAAAACATTGACTTGGAAGCCAAGAGGCATGTAACAAAATGTTTACATTTTAGGAATGAGCTCAATGTATAACTTAAATCAAGTGCATCAGCCTAATTATTGGAGCCTGAGGAAAGCACGTTTTTTCTTAAAAATGTTCACATATCTTTAGTTCAGCAAAAAGTGGGCCAAAGGGAAAACCTTAACGTTAACATGTATGTAAAACGTGATGGGACATTACCCACTACCTGCCCCAAAACAATGGATGAATTGTGGGTTTTAAATAAGTATGCATACAAGCATCTAATTACCTCTCAAAGAGGACACTGCGGTAACAGAATATCCACTGAGTAACTGGGGTGTGTAGTTTTGGGTTGAAGTTTAGCATCTTTTTAAAAAGAAGATTATAAATTAGTATTATAAAGTTTCAATTCTACATTGAAGTTCACAGAGAACAGATGAGACTGATGTGGGAAACAGAAGCCTCTGGATGACCTTTACAACGCAAAGGTGTACGCTTCAGACACTGCAGCAAACAGGAGCACAGTAAGAAGCCATACAAAAACTATGGAGATGGCAACGTGATCCAGGTTAAAACAATGGAAATATCCTGTTGAACGTCACCATGAACACTGCACACATTACTAACTCACAAAATGGTAATAAATTCGTATGTATCTCTAGGCATTCCCTGTTAGTTGAAGCATTGTAGTTGGAGTCTACTTGTAATTAATGTCATCTCTCATCCATACATTTTCAATAGAGGGTAAAACAAAAAAAGTCATGTGCATTTACCCTAAACCTTTAAGGGATTTACTGTATGTAGTTCTTTAGAAATTTTTGCTTGTTTGCTGTACTACTTTCAAGCTGATAAAAACTAAAGTGGCATTCCTTAACAAAACTTCAAAATGCTTTCTCCCCCTGGCCAACAAAACATGAAATAAAAAGCAGCACCCGAAATGAACTTCTAAACTTACTACGCACTTATCTTTAGCAAACAGAGCTTTCACTTTTCAGGTATCACAGGGCCCTTTGAGATGCCATGCCTATTGAGGCCGCCTCCCTAGAAAAATGCAAGTAAACATACCTTGTTTCCCAGGGTTCAGGGACTCCTCGACCACCACAACTAGGTCACAAGTTGACACTCTCATTTAGCTAGGAAGATACTGTTATTTCAAGTCTTCAGCAATGGACAATGAGAACAGGGACAGTGTAGGAAGGATATCTGCCACAGGCACAAACCCTTCCAGTGTGGTAGGGGTAGTATTACTATTATTTTGGAGTCCCAACTTCAATGGAGGAGAAAAATAACTGAGATTAGCAAACAGCAGTGTACAGAGGGATGAATGTAGTTCAGCAGGAAGACAGTGATGTCTTGAATACCTTAACAAAAACGTTAAAGCTTCTTTTTCAGCTTCCAGAGAAAAAGGAGGGCCTTCATTCAACCTCTCATTAACCCTGAGTATCGCAAGTAGGAGTTAAAATGAATAGATGTTGGAAACAGGAGCTACATTCACTAACTTAGGTCCTCAGTAACTACGATGGCTAGGTGTCATTAATATTGGCATTGTTAGTACAAGGAAAATTGATTATGACAATGTATTAAAAATGTCTGAAATCTTCACTTTTGTTCAAAATACCTGAAGGCATTGTATTAACTGCAAAAAAAAATTATGTCAGTTGCTTTGTACTCCCATAGAACTATTTGTAAATACTTCTCAGGTACGTTATCACACAAAGATTATTCTAGAATACTTTCCAGCTCTACACACTAAAGATCATGTTAAAGAATTATGGCATCTTTAAAAAGTTTTCATTGAACTACTGGTTAGAATTTCTCTCTGTATACAGCAATAAACTTCAAAAATTTACACTAGTGGTGGATGAATTTCTATTCTGATTCTATATATGAAGTTAGTAATATTTTCAGAGAAAAACAAAAGGTAAATAAATTCAATTATTATTAAGTCAACAATACTCTGACTCATGTAATTATGAAGGAAAAGCTGCATACACTTTTTTTTGTGTGTGTGTTTTTGAGACAGGGTCTCGCCATGCAGTTCAGGCTGCCTTGAGCTCACTTTGTAGCTCAGGCTGGTCTTGAACTCGAAACGATCCTCATGCCTCAGCCTCCTGAGTGCTGGGATTACAGGCATGCGCCACCATGCCCGGCTTGCGTGTACTTTTATGAAACCTAATTATTACACACTTTTGCATTTCAGCCTGATTATTTTATTGTTTTGCCAACAAGACTGCCAACTCCTTAAGCTTTACAGCTAGTCAAGAATTAAATCTGCATTAAATACAGAATTAATTTGTCTTTGGGGTTTAATTTTTTTTTTAATTAATAGCAAAGTGCAATGTCAAGAAGAGTCAATGTACCAAAAAATTGAAACAGAAAATCAAAATTCATTAAAACAATTTCTGTTTGTTTGCTCAGTAGTATATTTTTTTACATTCACTGAACATTCCCTTGCCTTTCCCATAATTAGAAAGTTAATTATTGAAATCATATTTTTGTGGCTCTGAGTTTTCAAAGAATGTGATTTAAATGCTTGTTATTAACATTACAGCGATCTGAGTAATACTAATCCTAACACTGATCCTAACACTAATGTGATGCTGTTTGTACATAATTATGTTTAATTGTCCCTATTCTGAACAGAAATTTGAATTTAACTCTGTTACACATCCTGCCTGAGTACTAAAAATAGGAACTCTCTGGTCTGAATATTTCATTAAAACCTTTACAGCTAAGAGTGAAGAAAAATTTAGTACAGGGCATCCTCTCCTTCACTTCCACCTCTTGCTTGAGGTAGCTAATCAAAATTTACTCAGTGATTTGTAATCTACCTTGATAAAAATAAGTAATTCCTTCGTTTAGTATTTGTGCCCTCCTGAAGTTTTTAGAAGTACTACAAAGTGTTAGAATACTTTAACCTGTATAGTGAGCAGTCATCTTGAGCACTACTTTTCATTGATCAAAACAGGTTAAATAGGCAATTCAAAAATTGAATTGAATCAGCAAATCAAACCCATGACAACGTTAGAATTCAGGATTAGGGAAATGACCTGAACAAGTAAGGAGAATAATTCTCCATCAAACGTTCACTTGGGAATGCTACTCCTCAATTGCATTATTCTAATTTCCTAACATTTGATTTTTCAGTTAAGTTTCATTAAAGTCTTTTCAATTGAAAACTATCACTTTTTAAAAAAATCGTATCGGACTACATATATATTAAAAAATACCTTTTTTAACAAGCAATTTTTTAAGCATACCTTTAAGAGCTGGTGAAAAGCTTAAGATCTCCAAAAAAGTTTATCACACCTTTTGGGGCAAATCATTTAGAAATCTGTCAATTGCAGATTAAGAGTGTGTGCATGAAAACTGCCCTACTTTGCAGTAGAATACTCTTTTCTCACCTTCAAAAGCTTAGTTATTAATAGTTCTTAGAATCACCATTATAATAGGCTTTAACTATGATTTCAAGTTGTAATCAAATTTTCAAGACAAGTTAACACGTATAAAAAAGCTTGGCATACGGGCAGGCAAGAGCAGCGAGCCAAGAAAGCATTCTCACGTCCTTCCAACAGCACCTTTCTTCTTAGTATCTTTCAAAGAAATAACCAATGTAACTTCAGTAAGCAAACAATTTAGTCATTTTTTTCACCTTAGAGTAACCTAACATCCAAAAATTTCCCCAGTGAGTTCACATACCAATTCATCAGTTATTTCAGCTGTTAAAATCACATACCTGTGACATGCTTGCATTTGAAACTGGACATAGTTTTTCCAAGTTTAGTTGAAAGAGGAAATTGTTCAGTTATCACAATCTCTTGACTGAACAAAACAAACACGTTGATATGAATCAATGATTCCTATGAAACAATGGGAACCTCTGATTATCAGGTGCGAGGTTTGCAGTTATCGTTAAAAACGCTTTCATTTCTTCACAACTTAAAGGCTTTGTCCTACTTTCTCATCAGAAGAGTAAAGCACACAAATTGAGTTTCTGCAACTTTCACTGTTACTGGTAAATGTTTATAGGCATAGTTTTCATTCATGCTTGAAAACTGAGGTGTATTTTACTGTATATCAAGAGAGTTGGAAGGATATTGTTGTAAAACCGTCAGCACATCTGTAACATTTCTTTTTCGGGATCCACCTGCTCTATGCTGCCCACTATAGGAAACGTAATTTGGTAATAAGGAATACAGTGCTAAATACTAGGGTCACTTTAGGACAAACCCATGAAAAAAATTCCCTGGCTACACAGGGCGCAAAGATGTGGTGTTCTTGCAAGGGATACCGACTGATCAGTAGTAACCCAATGTATTAAATATAAGGGGCACCAGCAGGACCAGAAATTGTATCTCGGGATCCACAGGGCAGCAGTAGCAACCGGGCGCAGCTGCAGACGGGGCGTGGAACTTAGTGGAAAGCGCAGGATGAGCCTGCAGAAAGCTGCAGACCGGCAGCGCCAGCGAGGAAATATCAGGGCCAACGCCTTATAAACAGACACTTTAGGGTCACCCCAACGCGAACGGCGGCTGCAAAAAACATTTCAAGCCCAACGTCCCGCAGTTCCTGCGCCCCGTACGCGCGCGACAGCCGAGCCGCCGCCTCTGACACGCAACGATCGTGGCGGCAGTACCACTCCCGGCTCACCTGTCGCGCACTTTCTGAACTCGTAGGAGGCTGGCGGCGACCTGGTGACGACCACGCTTCAGCCGCGCCTTCGCCCGGACGGGGGAGGACGCAAAGTGCTCAAATTCTGCCCTGGCGTGCACCCCAGGACCGCACTCTGCCGCCCGCAGCCCCTCCGCGGGCGTCCGCGGCAGGCCGCTGGCTCCCCGGCACACCTGAGAGCTTCAGCGGGGCTGCCCCGTGCCGGGCCCGCGCGGGGACACTCGCCCCGGACAGCAACGCGCAGGGCGTGCAGCGCGCGCACGGAGCGACACACTCACGGACACACGCGCGCGTGCACACTCACGGACACACGCGCGCACACACACTCCGCAGGCCCCGCGGCCCCGCGCTCCGCACCGGCCCCTGCAGCGGCCCCGAAAGCAGACGCCCCGACGTCCAGCCCCGACAGACGCCAGCGGCCGCGCCCGCCCG